GTTTTGAGGACACGTGCCTAAGATGGTTGGGGTACAGCCTGCTTTTATACATTTTAGGGAGATGTGAGCCATCAATCAATGTGTGTAAGACGTGCCTTGATTTTGTCCAGAAAGGCGGGACAACTCAAAGCGTGGGAGGGGGCTTCCAGGTCATAAGTGGACAAGACAAATGATTGCATTCTTTTGAGTCTCTAATTAACCTTTTTTTGAATACACAATTTACATGTGAAAGGAGAGGAGGACTCTTCACTTATGCCCTAGTCTGGCTTAGTGAAGTGACAGGGCGGAAGCAGCAATGAGATGTGCATTTGTCTCAGGTGAGCAGAGAGATGCCATTGTGTTCTGTCCATTGTGTGGCTAATGGTGAGGGGGTATGGAGCTTATCTTTGCAGCTTTCTAATTGAGGAATAAACTGGGAACAGGTTTGCTGATGCCGTTCCCAGCTTGACTTCCCTTTGGGTTAGTGATTTGGAGTCCTGAGATTTATTTCCTTTCACACCTTATAACCTGCTATGTGATTTATTAGGTGATAATGTGATCTTTGAGAATCTACTATTTGGGATTTGAGGATAATTAGCTAAGCTAGGGGGAAATTATTAAAATAATCCTAAAAAAGAAATCCCTTTTCTTTCTGATTTCTTCCTGGTCATTATTTCCTTGGCAATAACATACTTTGGGTTTAAGAAACATTCACGGAAGTTATTTTCTTCTAGAATTGAGATTTTTTTTTAAATTTACACTTGAGTTTCTTTGAAAAATGTTGGCAGCATTTATTGAATTACACTTCACATCTGAAACATAGTACTATCTCAGCATTCTAAGAATGCTGTTGCTTTTTTTTTTAATTCCATTTATTTTATTGCATTTTAGGTTTGGGGGTACATGTGAAGAACATGCAAGATTGTTGCATAGGTACACACGCGGCAGTGTGATTTGCTGCCTTCCTCCCCATCACCTACATCTGGCATCCTTCTCCTTGCTCTCTCTCCCCAACTCCCCACCCCCCACCGTCCCTCCCCTATTTCCCCCCAATAGACCCCAGTGTGTAGTGCTCCCCTCCCTGTGTCCATGTGTTCTCATTGTTCAACACCCACTTATGAGTGAGAAGATGCGGTGTTTGATCTTCTGCTCTTCTGTCAGTTTGCTGAGAATGATGGTTCATCCATGTCCCTACAAAGGACACAAACTCATTGTTTTTAATGGCTGCATAATATTCCATGGTGTATATGTGCCACATTTTCCCTGTCCAGTCTATCATCGATGGGCATTTGGGTTGGTTCCAGGTCTTTGCTATTGTAAACAGTGCTGCAATGAACATTCGTGTGCACGTGTCCTTATAGTAGAACGATTTATAATCCTTTGGATATATACCCAGTAATGGGATTGCTGGGTCAAATGGAAGTTCTATTTCTAGGTCCTTGAGGAATCACCACAATGTCTTCCACAATGGTTGATTACACTCCCACCAACAGTGTAAAAGTGTTCCTATTTCTCCACATCCTCTACAGAGAATGCCGTTGCTTTTTACAGGTCCTGTTGTCAGTGAATTTGCCTTTAATATACTAAATCAGGGAAGGATACAATTTATTTTTCATGTGAAAATGTGATAGTTTATGGACTTTGAATGTGTGGCTCTAACATGAGTTTATTTCACTGTTCTTTAAGGTTGTGATGGTGGAAACGATACCTCACAGTAACATGTAGGAAGAATTCAGAATTCATTTCCCTGCTTACTGAGTGATGGTGCTCAGTTTTTTTTTGTTGTTGTTGTTGTTTTTTTTTTTTTGAGACGGAGTTTCATTCATGTTACCCAGGCTGGAGTGCAATGGCGCAATCTCGGCTCACCGCAACCTCCGCCTCCTGGGTTCAGGCAATTCTCCTGCCTCAGCCTCCCGAGTAGCTGGGATTACAGGCACGCGCCACCATGCCCAGCTAATTTTTTGTATTTTTAGTAGAGACGAGGTTTCACCATGTTGACCAGGATGGTCTCGATCTCTCGACCTCGTGATCCACCCGCCTCGGCCTCCCAAAGTGCTGGGATTACAGGCTTGAGCCACCGCGCCCGGCCTCAGTTTTAAATCCCATGTGCCAATTAAGTAAAAAGTTGTGTTAAAATCTGTCCTGCAATTTTTAATTTGTGATAACATCACTCAGTTCTCCAAAGTAATTGGAAGATACTGACTTAAAAATTATGTAATTAAAACACTATAATTGTATATAATTAATGAGGCACAGTTTGATGTTTTTATCCACATGAACATTCTATAATGATCAAACAATTTAAGTCTAATGCCCTGTTGATTTGAGCTTGACAAGTTGTAAAACTACAAAAACAATAGCCACTTTCTACTAGACAAAGTTTCCTAATCATCTTAGGTCTGTTCCGTCTTCACCAGCAATCTCATGTCAGTCATCTCCTTGTTCCATTGGCCTAATAATGCCCGGCTCCCTATTCTAACCAAGCTGGTTTAAAAAGGCAAGAAGGAAAGACTTTTGGAGAAAATGCCTGTTGGAATATACCAGGTAAGAACCATGTGAAAAATCCTAAAAGGGAGAATCCAGGTCGATGTCAGAGTAGAGTGTACCAGGTGGGTCCAGAAGCACTCCTAGTGGCCTTCTTCTGGATTACTTATGCCTCTGGGGCCACATCTTTTCACCACCTTGCTTATGAATCTGTTATGCCAGGCCACAGCGATGACTGTAGAGCTAGTGCCATGGAGTGCTAAGGACATAGATGTGAAAACACACTCGATTGGCCAGCACCATCACTGAGCTGCTCTGTGATGTGAGATGACGCCAGAAAAGAGAGGTGTGGGGAGTGGGGTAAGGAAACACACTGCTGAAATTAACTTATTTTATCTGGAGAGAAGAACAAGTGAAGGCTCATAATGATTGGGTAATGACTAATAGGGCGGTGATGGCCATTATTTATTGTATACCTACTCTGAGCTCCATG